CCAGCCCCTCTTGCTGCTCTCCATCCCAGTCCCCCTTATGCTTAAACTTTTCCCCCTTTATTCCAAATAAAGTCAGCTCCTTAAGGGACAGCTTTGTTCTCTTTTTTTATTGACTCCTTCTGTCCCCAGGGAACAGTCTCTGAGCCACCTGATGGGAAACCTCTGGAGCTGGAGGAGGGAGTGAACCCAGCTTGCAGGCAGGGAATCGGGCAGGAGGAGTAGCCCCTGATCTTCTTGCCTCGCCCCTAGGCCACATGGGGGCTGAGCAGGGGTGACCAGGGCCCCAGAGTCACAGTCTTTTGTGGGAGTGGGGAGGAGCTTCTGCTCTAGGGTGCAGGTGGGAGCTGGGTGGGGAAAGGGGGCACTTGACCACCAGGCTCAGGGGTCAGCAATCCAGACCAGAGGGGACCAGAAATGAGAAATGCTGGAGGCAGGGTCTGCCCTCCCCAGTGAGATGCCAAATCTTGTCACTGGGAGCCCCTGTTTTTGGCCATCCCTGAGATTCTCACCTTCTCACCTGCCCTGAACTGGTGGAGGCGGGGTGGGGGTGTGGGGGTGGGGGTGGATGGTGAGGCAGTGAGTGGGCTGGGACTCCTGTGTCCAGATTGAACTTTAGTGGATTTTCTTGGATAATGGTTTCTTCATCTGCCGTTTACCTTAGGACAAAATCCAAAGACTTAAATATTGGGTTCTGGAGTTAGTTTTCACCAGTTGTCGTTGTCTAGTTTGACCAGGTATGTGGAGCACCTAATTGACCTGTGACCTTGACGTATGAAAGGTTAGGATGCAGAGGTGTCTTTTCATAGCCAACATCTCTGTTGAGGGACCATGTGTCCCAGACACCAGAGTTGACACTTGTGACTCGGAGTTAATCTGCTTCCCCCACACAACCTCCCTTTTCTTTTAAAAGTTACAGAAGGTCCCTACCTGTTCAAGTGGCTCCATAAATCTCACCGCGAGCAGACTCTGAAGCCTGTGTATACTTGTGTTCTGGGTTTTTTCTATCATATCAAAAACATGCAAGCCTTTAGGCACAGATTGGGAGAGACATCAGTGAAGAGGTGGTGCTTCCCAGGTGGTGCTAGTGGTAAAGAACTCACCTGCCAATGCAGGTTAGACATAAGAGATGTTCGATCTAAGACAATAAGAGGGTCCAGTCCCTGGGTCAGGAAGATCCCTTGGAGGAGGGCATGGCGACCCACTCTAGTATTCTTGCCTGGAGAATCCCATGGACAGAGGAGCCTGGCGGGCTACAGTCCATGGGGTTGCAAAGAGTTGGACATAACAGAAGTGACTTAGCCACACACACATCAGTGAAAAGCTGATTTTCCTAATCTTCCTGCTACCACCCGTCAGAGTGATCAGAAAATCTGACACTGTGCTGATATATGAGCCCTGCATAGCCTCTCGTGGGTTCCTGTCACTGCCAGGGGGGATGGTTTTCCTGTCAATGCTGAGCCCTGTGGAATTAATTTCACTTTCCGTATAATTACAGTCAATAGGCTTAGTGTTTTTCACTCTTCACCACCTCATTGGTTAAGCCACATTTCAGAGTCATTTGGTGCCCAAGGCTGGCATATGGCCACTGAAACTTAAAGCCTTCTCAGTAATTGTTGAAGCCTCAGCACAAAGAAGAGATTTGCTCCAACAGACTTTTTTTTATTTTTGCTGATGAACTGTGTGAGGCCTGAATTTGGGTGCTGACCTGAGCTGGACCCTGCTGGCTCCCACAGGAGCGTGTGGGGCTGAGATCATGGACCGCAGAGGCAAGCGGAGCTGTGCAGGGCCTAATCCGTTCCATGTGTGAGGCCTGAGGAAGCTGTCTGAGTGCCAAGCTTCTGCCCATTCTGTTTCCATTTGAAATGCTTGCCTGAGGGGATGAAGAAACATTTTATAACCGCCCAGCTGTGTTACATGGTGGCACTAGTGGTAAAGAATCTGCCTGCCAATTCAGGAGATGTAAGAGATGTGGGCTTAGCCCCTGGGTTGGGAAGATCCCCTGGAGAACAAAATAGCAATCCACTACAGTATTCTTGCCTGGAGAATCCCATGGACAGAGGAGCATGGCAGGCTACAGTCCATGGGGTCACAAAGTGTCAGACATGACTGAAGCAACCTAGCACACACACACGTGTAGCTGTGTTACATAAACCTAAGTACTTGAGATAGAAAGGAATTATTCTGGAAAAAATCTTTAATCTATTTTAAGAAAGGCTAAGGTACTTCCTTCTCTAGGGGATCTTCCTGATCCAGAGATTGAACCCACATCTGCTTTGGCAGGTGTTTTCTTTACCACTTCTGAAGCCATGAAATTAAAATCGCTTGCTCCTTGGAAGAAAAGCTATGACCAACCTAGACAGCATATTAAAAAGCAGAGACATTACCAACAAAGGTCCATCTAGTCAAAGCTATGGCTTTTCCGGTAGTCATGTATGTATGTATATGAGAGCTGGACCATAAAGAAGGCTGAGCAGCAAAGAATTGTTTTGACCTGTGGTATTGGAGAAGACTCTTGAGAGTCCCTTGGACAGCAAGGAAGTCAAACCAGTCAGTCCTTAAGGAAATCAGTCCTGAACAGTCATTGGAAGGACTGAAGCTGAAGCTCCAATACTTTGGCTACCTGATGTCAAGAACTGACTTGCTGGAAAAGACCTTGATGCTGGGAAAGATTGAAGGCAGGAGGAGAAGGGGACGACAGAGTATGAGACGGTTGGATGGCGTCCCCGACCCGATGGATGTGAGTTTGAGCAGGCTCCTGGAGTTGGTGATGGACAGGGTTGCTGGCTTGCTACAATCCATGGGATCGCAAAGAGTCAGATGGGACTGAGCAACTGAACTGTAACTATATTCTTACCTGGGAAATCCCATGCACAAAGGAGTCTGGTGGGCTACAGTCCATATGGTTGCAAAGAGTCGGACATGACTTAGCAACTGAACAGTAACAAAGGTGCTTCACGCAGTTTTTCTTCGCCACTAAGCGTAGTGAGATGTTGGCGGCTGTCCTGTGTGACTTAACACCCTGCTTTTCTGCTGGCTCCTAGGTCTCACCCGGTTACTTTAGGTGCAGAGATAAAGTTGGCATGCCATGGGACATCTTATTTTAGGAAGTGTTTGCATATCGATATAGAGTTACATTAAGAGGGGTTAAATTTCTTCTGAAAAGATGTAATTTTACTAATGTAGAAACTGGGAAAATGCGATTAAACAGAGGTAAGACACAATGAAGCCTCACCTGAGTCAAGCACTAAGGGTGAGCCAGATTGGAAGTTAGTAATTTTTGTAGAAAACTGTTTTTACAAATCACCGTGCAGGTGTATAGATGAAAATGTAGGAGCACTGAAGGTAAAACGCACCCCAGACAAGTGGACAGACTATGGAATCAAGAGGACAAGCTGATGTTGTCTTTCTCAGGGATCCAGGGCTACTGGCCCAAAACTCCAGCCCCCAGATGTCGGTTCTCTTCCTGAAGCAAAGGGGAGTAGAATACAGGGTTCCCGACAGAGAACAGGTGCAACTGATGGGAGGCTGAGGGGCTTCTTGGTTGTGCATGTTCTAAACCTTCACATTTGTATTTTCATCTGAGCACATCCTCCGATGGTGGGCAGGTGGTTCTTCTTGGGCTGGTGTGTCGTTCCCCGCCCCCCCCCCCCCCCCCGCCACAGTCAGCCTTCTCCCCTGTTCCCCAGGCAACTTTGCTTACACCTGGGATAAACACTGGAAAGACACATCAGGTTTTCTACGAACAGAGGACTTCATGCAGAGTAAATGTTTTACAACCACAGACCTAGAGGTTAAGATGCTTTCTCCTTAGGTAAAAAGTACATGTTCTCTCTATTGTTAATTCTTTCACTTTGAACAGGAGGGTGACAGGAATGTGAATTTTGAAGGAGGAGAAGGTGAGATGGGTCACTAGGATGAGTAGAGAATGTATTTTCCATCAGTTTATTATTTTTACTCCTACCCTCCAAAAACAAAATGTACTTTATCTAGCCCCCTCTGCTTACATTATCTGGATCAAGTCTTTTTATTAGTTAAATTTTTTTTCAGTCATGATTGCCTTTTCCCATTTTCTGGGTGTCTGTTTTAGAAGCACATTCCTGGTGATCTCTGGCCTCCAGTGGTCATTCAAAGCTGCCCCACTTCCGTTCGGCTGGGTCTCTGACAGCGCATAACCAAACAGTGCAACTTACTCATGTAGGGCCTTGGTCTGCACACAGTATCTACTGCTTCTTATATTGTTCTTGTGAACAACTTGAAAGAGCGTAGCTTTTTATGAGGTTTCTGCATACAGTTTAAATATGACATCCTTCTTTTTGGTAGTTCACCAAATAGACGCATGTTCTGGTCACTTTTTACAAAAGTGATTCTAAAAGAATTAGAATCCCATCAGTGATGCTAACGGAGAAGGCAATGGCACCCCACTCCAGTACTCTTGCCTGGAAAATCCCATGGACAGAGGAGCCTGGTGGGCTGCAGTCCACGGGGTCGCTAAGAGTCCCATACGACTGAGCAACTTCACTTTCACTTTTCACTTTCATGCATTGGAGAAGGAAATGGCAACCCACTCCACTGTTCTTGCCTGGACAATCCCAGGGACAGGGGAGCCTGGTGGGCTGCCGTCTGTGGGGTCGCACAGAGTCGGACACGACTGAAGCGACTTAGCAATAGCGGTGATGCTAAGCGTCCCACCCATATAAAACAAGGATCTTTTAGTAATGTCAGGTTCTCTGTCGAAGAGTGCACTTTGAACTTATAACTGCTACTTTCCATATTACTTACTGGCGGCAGTTTGGATTTCCAGGCTGCCTAGACGTACACAGGTCCAAGTCCCTGCTCTGGAGTCAGAGGACCCGCACCTCCACAGCCTGCCTGCACACACCCTCCCCTGCCCGCACGCACACCCCTCTACCCACACACCCTCCCCTGTTCAGTAGGGGCTACACTGGTACACATCCCTTATACAGAGTGATCACCATCCTCTCCTCTCCTTCCCCACGCAGGTAACCGGGGGTGCAGGCTTTGTGGGTTCCCACCTCACAGACAAACTCATGATGGATGGTCACGAAGTGACCGTGGTGGACAACTTCTTCACCGGCAGAAAGAGGAACGTGGAGCACTGGATCGGCCACGAGAACTTCGAGCTGATCAACCACGACGTGGTGGAGCCACTGTACATCGAGGGTGAGCCAGGGCTGCAGTGCCGGTCGGTGCCTGGTGGGCGGGCGGGCGGGCGCGATGGGGCCCCCGGCTGGGTGGCTGACTCGGTCGTGTGGAGTCCCTGTCTGGTTTTGGAAAGTCTCACCACATCTCGGGCACCACCCTGGCCTCTGTGATGGAGACTGGATTGGGGAGCGGTCTGGATTCCCTGTTACATGGCTGTCGATCTGATATGTACAGCAGGGCAGGAATGTTCTTCTGTGGGACAAGCATTCTGTGGGACTCTGTTGGTCTGTCTGTCTCCCAGGCTGGCATGCTGTGTGGGTTTTTACAGGGTCTCAGGGGTACCACTTGATCTTCATCTCCCCAGCAGAGGTCTACCAACTTCTTCTCGGCACACATCTTGTTATTTTCAAGTGTGACCACTGTGGTTTATTCTGATTTCCTATTTCCAGTGGGAAAGTAGCTTTTGTCTGGACTTAGGACGGGGTGGTCCATGTGGAGGAGGAGCTTATAACTGGGGTGGCTCGAGTCTGGGCGGGCGCAGTGGCCTCTGGGCCCCCTTGTGGTGATGAGTTATGAAATGGTCACACAGGAAGCCTTATTGTCACAGGGGTTGCGACAGAGGCCTCTGCATTGTCAGGATTAGAGGATTGGGAAAGAAAGTTGTTGCTTTGGAAGAAATTGTAATCACTGAAATAACTTAATCAGGTTGTCTATGGCCTTAAAAGAATTCTGGATTTTACCCACCACAGCGTTTAAGCTTCTGATGTTGAATCTACCCTGCAGACTGGCTCTGGAAGCAGTAAAGTGAATTATTCTTCCCCTACCCCACCCCCCAACCCATTCAGGACATGGGAGGTTTCTGAAAAGCCAGGGCCAGTGGAGGGTGTGTGCGGTTTGTGGGGTGGACACCAGGCCGTCGGGACGGTGGTCGCTGAGCTGTGGCTGGGGACGTCACCTTGGGCGCAGGCAGGTGTCTGTCCCAGGAGAGGGCCCTAGGGACAGGACAGCGGGCGGTGACCAGGCTCTCAGAGCTGATCAGATGCTCCTGAGGGGAGGGGGAGCCCCTTGGAAGATGAGCTGGAAGAGGAAGGAACTATCTTCGTGGGCGGGTGGACTTCAGGTTTCTGGTCTGACCGATTGGGAGCCTGGAGTAGCCCCTCCTGTCCTCACAGCTGGGAGATGAGCAGATTGATGGCCGGCAGCCTTTTCCGCTCCTGCAGGAGACAGAGACCCCTGCCCCTGGGATCCCAAGATGGTGCTGGACACAGAACCCCGACTGGGTGGAAGTGAGTGGGAGCTGCCCAGGTGCTGGGACAGTGTGGACGGGCTGTAAGTCCCAGCCTCAGCTCTGGGGGTCGGGGGCCCTTGTGTTAAGTTTCCCCTCCAGGAGCCCCATGAGGGGGTTCTCAGTGACAGGTTTCCAGCGAGGGGGCCAGGGGGGGAGAGCCCTCCTAAAAATCCACCCAGAAAACCCAGTTCTCCCCTGAAGGCTCCTCAGGGGAGACCTCCCCCCATAGCCTGACTAACATGGATGGATGCCCCCAGCCCAGGCTCACAATGAGGAGACCCCATCCTGGGACCCCCTCCCCCCGCCTCACTCCCCACGCCCCTCAGTGAAGACCCCAAGGACAACAGGTGCACCAGAGGAATCCCAGGGCCCCAGGCCTAGGTAAGGAAGAGTCTCTAGGGAAACCCAGGGACAACCAGGGAGACCACACCAAGGTCCCAGGGGGTCAGCCTCTGACCCCGAGGGCTGCAGGGCAGCGAGCGCAGCTTGTGTCCAGCCTGTTTATCCCCACTGGTCCTGGTGCATGGTGCACGTCCACGGTACAGACTCGGTCTGAAGAGGCAAAGCCAGCATCAGACCTGGAGCAGACGTAGCAGGGACATGGAGTTACCAGAATGACTGTTTAAATACCTCTGATCCGTGTGCAGAGGACACGGATGGGTACAGTGGAGTCGGCAGAGATGGGAGGGTCACGGGGCTGAGAGATAGAATGTCGTGGTCACGGGGTTAAGAGTCTGGCCTTCTATGCAGGGGACACAAGTTTGCTCCCTGATCTGGGGAGCTCCCACATGCTGCAGAGCAGCTAAGTCTGAGCATCCACAAAGACCAGAAATAATTAAATAACTAAAAGGCAAGAAATAATTAAAAATAAACAAAATTTTTAAAAGTTACATAGAAGAGAATCTTCATTTTTTCTCCCCTTTCAAAAGATGATTCTTTCCTAGTGATAAAAGTAATACCCAGATGCTACAGAACATTTGGAAAAGTATAAAAAAGAAAATAGAAAATTGATCCTCTTATCCAAAAATGCTCTCTCTGTTCTTATTAGCATCTAATCATTTTTTCTTTAAATGTGATCTTTTTAGATTAAATGTATGGTTAATAGGCAATATAAATTATATGTTTCATTTTTAAAAAAAGAAATTAAAAAGAAATTCCTTAAAAAGTCTTCCTCTTGCCTCTGCCTGCCACCTCACTCCAGGAGACTGCTCCTCACATTCGCTCATCTGCAATTTCCTTCTGTGACCCAGTTAACACAAGCAGGTATTCATGATTCTTCCCCACAGTAGAGAAAGTAGCATTTTTTGTGTTGCTCTGAATTTTTTCCCCCTTGCTTTTTGTATCCTGGTGATCTTTCTGTATCATTCACGCAGTGCTACTTCATTATTATGTTATTATTATTTTCATTTTTTTGGCACTTAGTCGTGTTCTGTTGTGTGGCTGCACCAGGTCTTTTTACAGAGGCTTGTCTCCCCCCTGCTCTGTGCTGTTAGCATCTCCCCATGGCGTGAACATAGCACAGCTTCGTTACCCCGTGCGGCTGGGGGCGGGGCTTGTTTGCCGCACCTGGCCGTCCAGGAAGTGGACGTGGCTCGGGAAGTGCCCAGTACGGATGTGAGGTCACTGCTGTCATCACCTGGGATGTGTGTAGCCTGTGACTCCCCAGAGCTTCCCTGAGAGCTTGTCCCCCCGCTTCACGGGCAGCGTGTCTGCACAGAAGGAAGCAGGCAGAGAGGCCCTGGTGTCTGGGGAGCTGGGTCCTGGCCCTGACGGCGCCATGGGAGGACATCCAGGGGCCCAGAGCCACAGGCAGATGACGGTAGTGACCCCGATGTGCACTGCTGTGTCCTGGCACTGTTGGTACGTCTTTGTGGTGGACACTGCTAGCTCTCTGAACATGTGTGTCGGGTGGGCTGTTAGCCCTGGGTGCTGAGCCCTTTCTGTTAGTTCCTTGTACCAGGCGGAGGAATCCAAGGGGAGACCTGGGCGGGGGGGAGTTGTCAACACCTGACCAGCCCCCCGACCCCGCAACTCTGCCAGGTGATGGCAAGAGGTGGGACTGAAAACGGCATTTGCTGAGAACTTTGGGTTCGTGTTTCTGTGGGCATTTGAAGAGTGCCCCTCAGATTGGAATGTTTCTGTAGAATTATATTCAGTAGTTTAGAAATTTTCCCACTTGCAGTGATGGTGCAAGTGTAAGCATTGAACGCAGAGGCTGTGGAGCTCAGAGACCCTCCGTGTAACATGGAATTCCTCCAGGGAAGCCAGCACATTGGGTGCCGCCTTTTATCGTTGTGGGGGGCGGGGGGCATGCCAGCTGGTGGCTGATCCGGGGTTGGGCCAGGCCTCAAGCAGGCAGCCTCCCCTTGGCATTAAGTCAGTATTATTTGATACGAAGTCAAGGCACAATCCCACTCTTAATTTTCCATGCCAAGAGAAATTTGGTCTTTACACTTTGAAAAGTTGTGTATCTTCTTAAACCCTGTTTTCCACCACAGATGCTGGTGTCAGGGAGCAGTGGTCAGGCTGTGTGTGCCATGTGGCCATGAGTGGCCGTGACACGGCAGAGGTTTGACACAGGTCACGCAGAGAACTTGGTTGAAAAAACATGGTAAAAAGAAAATACTGCAGGAAGATGTAAATATTCTGTCTGTCTCTCTGTGGATTTCCCCTTTGGTAGGAGATAGCACCTGATTTTTTTTTTTTGGTATGGATTCTGAGCAGTAATTTTGAATTATCTCAAGAGCTGTTAGTTTTGAGTGTTTTTTTCTTTCTCTATCTATGTCTCACATGTGCAGAATTCATTCATTTGGGGTTAGACTGCCTGAGTTTTCAGAATTCACAGGAGGACCAGTGCGCTGTGGCCACCCCACCCTGGGCCCATCTTCCTCCCAGCATAAAAATAACATGCCCACAGCCTGCCAAGAACATTACTTTGAAACTATTTAAGGAAATTATGTGAGAAAGGAGAACTCGAGTTGGTTTTACTGTTTTAATCACACTTTAACTTGAGCTCTTTCGGGCTCATTTCTCAAGGCTCCTGTTTTCCCAGCTGCCGTTCCAGCATGCCGGCTTGTTCATGGGACAGGGTGGCGGGAGCGTCGCTTGGCGGCCGGCAGCCAGCACGGATGGATCGCCACGCTGGTCGCCCTCCCCTGGCTCAGGGGTTTGAACATCATGCTTGTTTGGGTGCAATGTGCCACGCAGTGGGCAGGCTCTGAGCATTTCTTCCTGGGTGGTGAGAGTTCACCTTGGTTATTAATGCTTCATGGTATCTTCCTAGCACCTCTCATGACTGATTTTTACGCTTGTTCTGAAGTTTCCCCCCTGTCCTGCCCATAATTCCTTCTGGGAGACTGTCAGTGACTGGTGAAGGCACTGGGGCCTTACTGTTACAGGCAGGACGTGTCCCCGTAGGAAGGACACACTGCTTAAGGCAACATGAGATCTTGTGTTACAGAGCATGCCTTAGCCCTCCCAGGAGGGGCGGGGGGGCAGTCCTTTGCTCACTGGGTCGTCTGTGCAGGGACCCTGCGTGGCTCTCACCTTTTGGCTACTATAAGCAATGCACGTGCGAGCGCGAGTATCTCTCTGAGACTCTGCTCTTTCATTCCCTTGGCTGTGATCCCAAGAGTGGAATGTCTTATCCTATGTTGATTCCATTTCTAATATTCTGAGGGAATGCCCCACTGTTGCCATGGTGGCTGCAGCGTTTGCATTCCCACCAGCAGTGCACAAGGGCTCCAGTTTCTCCACATCCTTGAAGACAGCTTTTGTTAATTTTTTGGGGGGGTTTTGGTAGTAGACATCCTGATCCCTGTGAAGCAGTACCCCAGTGTGGTCTTGATTTGCATGTTTCTGTTAAGTGACATTGAGCATTTTTTCATACACTTATTAGCCATTTGTGTTTCATCTTAGGAGATGTATCAATATATTCAATGTTTGCATCTTTTAAGTTGGTTGATTTTGTGTTGTTCATTTTAGGGGTTCTTTATGTATTCTGAATATTAGCTTATCACATATAATTTGCAAGTATTTCTCCCATTCTGTAGGCTGTCTTTACTTTGTTGATGGTGTCTTTTGATCCCGGCAGAATGTTTGACCTAGTCTCATTTGTCTATTTTTGCTCTGTTTCCTTTACTTTTGGTGTCAAATTCAAGAAATCTTTCCTAAATTCAGTGTCATGCAGCTTTTTCTCTGTGTTTTCTTCTGGGAGTTTTATTCCTTTAAGTCTTTTATTTTAGGCTCTTAATCTGTTTCGAGTTGGTTTTTGTGTGTGGTGTAAGATCAGGGTCCAGTCTCATTCTTTTGCACGTGGATGTGCAGTTTTCCCAACACCATTTGTCAAAGAGACTGTCCTTTCTCCACTGTGTGGCTCAGCACCCTTGTCAGAGATCTTGTGACTGTACACAGAGGGTTTATTTGTGAGCTGTCTACTGCAATCCTTTGGTCTCTATGTCTTTATACCAGTAACACACCCTTTTGTTACTGTAGCTTTTGTATTGTGTTTTGAAATCAGAAAATGTGAGTCCTTCAACTTTGCACTTTTTCAAAGTTATTTTGGCTATTTGGACACCCTTGAGAGTTTCCATATGTTGTTTTCAATTTTTATTTATTCATTCATTTCTGAGGTCGAGGGCACAGATATTAAAGCATTACCTCTGTGCCAGGGGAGTCATGTGGGATCCAGATGTTTTCGCTATTTGGTGGCTCTAAAACCACCTCTAGATCTGGTGTTTATATGCAGGATAAGTAGAAACAGAGCAAAAGCTCTCTCATCTCCCACACTTTCCTACCCTTTGTGTCAGATTTGTTTTTATAAACTGAAAATATTGCTCATTTTGATATTCATGCTTCTCTCCATATCTGAGAACTCAGTCTGCCTTCCAGTCTGAGCACTTCATCCAGATAGATCTTCTCAGGGAGCAGTCCACTTGGCGATGAGACCAATTCTAGGTAGAGGGGAACAGGCCACATGAGGGGCCCTGGCACGCTCTTGTTCCAGGTGATCAGACTTTGTTTCTGTTTAAAGTTCTTCCAGTCTCATATATGTGAACTAGTTTCTAAGAAGAATGAAAGGTGATGAGTAGAATTTCGGTGAAAGATACATGAGCACTGTTTTCACACGGTCCAATTCTGAGAGGTCCGCATTTTCCAGTGTTTTCCCTGAAAGTAACAGGTGTGTTTTGCCTCCCACCACCCCTCACAGTGGACCAGATCTACCACCTGGCCTCTCCTGCCTCGCCTCCCAACTACATGTACAATCCCATCAAGACATTGAAGACCAACACCATCGGAACACTAAACATGCTGGGTGAGTCAGTCCTTCGTCCTGCAGGCCGTCAGGGTGTCGGGACCAGGCATTGGATCCTGTCAGTTCTGTTCTTCAGCCCCTCTTCCCCATGCATGCTCTCAGGGTGACTGGATTTGCCGTCACAACTCATCATGGGGGTCCATCACTGTGGGAATCGGTCTGCATTGCCTCAGTGACATCCCCTGTCTTCCAAGTGGCCGCCTGCCCCTCCTGCACTTCCCCTACTTGTGGCATGCGTGCCTTGGGGCTGGAAGGGGCACTGTTGGCTCTGATGTGAGGTGGGGCGTGGGCTGGGCCCACAGGGTTGGGGATGGGAGAACCTCCTCGTGGGGTTGAGGAAACTAAGCTCCAGACTGACTGCAGGCCTCACCCTGGAAGTGGAAGGTGAGCGTGAGCACCACCCCAGGTGGCCGTGTTTGAGCCCACAGACAAATCCGGAGCATGGACCACGTGCACTGGGTGGTTGAGGTCAGAGGCGCTTCCGTTTCCATGGGTTTAAAGACCAAGGGTTTTGATTAGGTGCGAAGTGAAGAGAGGAACTGCTTCTTTAAATGTCAAGTGAAAAGTGGATTTAATTATGGAATATTTAAAGCAGATTTTGTAACTGGGTTTGAGAAACTGCCCTGCATTTCAATTTGAGAAAGGGGCAGCTGGGAGGGGAGTGCGGTCTCTTTAGAGAAAACCTTCGGGGCAGCAGGCTCTGCGGGAAGTGAAGGACGCTTTCTCTAACTCAGAGAGGGCACTGGTGTCCTGACCGTCAGGTGCATGTGGTGGAGACACCCTGTTCTTAGCACTGCATGCACCTGCCCCCAGCTCTCTCCAGCCCTCCACCCCGCCTTCACGTGGAGCTGGAGGTAGTGCAGAAACAGCTACCATGCTCACAATATTTAGAAAGAGGACCTTCCTCCCACCTGTTACAGGATGCTCCCTCCTGTCCACTGACAGGGGGTAGGTCAGATGAGGTTACACTCGGGTACTTGGTGACCATGGGGGATGGAGAGGTTCCCACAGCTGATGCCCTGAAATACCGGTCCATGACCTGTTAGGAACCGGGCCGCACAGCAGGAGGTGAGCAGCCAGTGAAGCTTCATCTGTATTTACAGCCACTCCCTATCACTCATGTTTCCGCCTGAGCTCTGCCTCCTATCAGGTCAGGGGCAGCATTAGATTCTTATAGGAGCACAGACCCCACTGTGAACTGCACATGCAAGGAACCTAGGTTGAGAGCCCCTTATAAGACTCTACTGCCTGTTGATCTCAGGTGGAGCTGAGGTGATATGCTAGTGCTGGGGGGCAGCTGCAGTTACGGAGTATCACTGGCAGAGAGGTCTGACTGCAGAGACCAGAATAAATCAGCTGCAGACTCATGTCCGAACCCTGCCAGTGAGTGGCAAGTGACAGCTAAGCTGCATCTGGCAAAGTGTGTAATTATTTTACTATATATCACAGTGTAATAATAATAGAAATAAAGTGCACAATAAATGTAATGTGCTCGAATTGTCCCCAAACCATCCCCCTACCCCTGCCGCGTCTTTGGAATAATTGTTATCCATTAAACCGGCCCCTGGTGCTCAAAAGGTTGGGGACTGCTGTCTTAGAGCTTGACCTGAGCTTGGCAGGTGACAATACTCTAGTCCATTTTTGCTGGGAGGGGTGAAGGCGAGAAGGGGTCAGAGCTGGACACAGACATGGCCAGTTACTTTGGAGAAGATACTGCGGAAGCTGGACCTCAAAGGAAAGAGGGAGTGGGGCAGAGGTACCTGAACAGGAGACTGTCTTGGGCACAGTTGGAGGTGCCCGGGGCACGTGGGGAGCAGAAGAGAGAAGGTTGACCATCAAGGGAGAGAGTGGCAGGGTTCGAAGGACCTTGCCCTCTGCCTGCGAGGGTGGGGGTAGTTACCTGATGGGGTGCTGGTTGCCACGTTCAGGTAAAGGAATCTTTATAAAATTCCCCACGTCATACCTTATAATAAAGTCCACAGACTGTGCGTTTGGCCGTGTTTACAGTCACACATGTCCAGCTAACTGCCGTGTTTCTGGGAGTGCATTTGTACTTTTCTTACAGTTTGAATTTAGATTCCAAAGTAGATGCAGTAAGAGTGGATAACTTACAATGCCCAGATGGCCAGATACCATTTATACCAAAACATTCCTTAAATTGGCTGTACGCTTGTTTTCCTTGTTCCTTGAAGCTGACAATGTCCTGTCGTGTTTCCACAGGGCTGGCAAAGCGAGTTGGGGCCCGTCTACTCCTGGCCTCCACCTCAGAGGTGTACGGAGGTGAGTGGGTATCACTCCAGCCCCCTGGACAGCTGGCTCCTGTCACAGCAGTGGGGAGAAGGGTCCAGCGAGTCTAGACTCGTTTCCAGAAGGCCCGCCCGACTATTCCTCTCCAGCGGGCAGTGGCCAAGGTGTTCCCTCCTCTGGGTGGGGTGAGCCTTTTTCTCCTGCTGAGGGACCTCCCCCTACCAGGACTGGGTTATGTCACCTTGCCAACGAGCAGCGGCCACTTAAAAATCCACAGAAGTGTCTTTGCTCCAGAGGCACCTCAGGAGTCAGATCACGGAGGCTTCACTGGTTTAGCCAGAGGGTTTACTCTTTAGTGAAATCAGCACCCCCATCCCCTCCGCTCTCCAAACCCCGGAAGCTCAGGGGTCAGGAGACAGATGGTGGGGAGACAAATGTGTGCTGGTTGCCTCCGCTGTTTGAGGGTAGGTTCTGAGAGAGGCTTAAGTAGGTGGAGCTAGAAAACCCTGACGCCTGCTTTGCCCTGCCCGCCCCAAACCTTGAGGATGTGAGCCTTCAGAGAGAGCTGAGGGCCCTTCTGGTGCAGGGTTTTGGAGAACCACTTAGTGGATGCGGCAGAAGCCAGATGCTAATGCAGTGTGATTTTCTCCAGGCGTTGCTGTCACAGCCAGGAAGTGAGAGGGCAGTGTGGGAAGAGATGCCTTTTAAAAAAATAAATAAGGGAACCAAGTGAAAAAAATCATAGAAGGTGCAGTTCTGATGATGCGGCTCTGCTCTTTGCCTCCACTGGCAAGGCAGAGCACCCCCACAACTCTGAAGTCCAGGCAGCGCCCCACCTCCCACCAGCTCCAGGAAGGGGCATTGAGAGGTGCTTCCCACCTCCAGACTCTGCAGAGCTTGGCAGGTCCCCACGCGGTACCAGGAGGCCCTTTGTATCATGTGACCCAGAAGCAATGAGGCCATGTCCTTGTTCCTGTCTCAGTGTCCTGATGGTCCCTGTCCTGTCTCGGATGTCTTTTCCACGACCCCCTACTACCCTCACTTAGCATCTCGCCTCTGACATCAGCTTGTCAGTGATGTTGGGGTAATTCTCAGAGGTCCCCGGGTCTGCTCCAACAGTGGTGCCTGCAGGCACCCCCATCTGGTGTGCCGGCCCCCCCGATGCTGAAGGGGGGACGGGTTTGAGATGATGTGTCCCCTGCACCCTCACTGCTGTAGTAGCAAAGTGGCTTTGTGAGGGGGTGAAGCTGGGTCGTGAACCTCTGGCATTTCCACCCCACCGGTGCCAGCTGCGGAGCAGGTGTCTGTGCCCCCCCCTTTTCTGTTGGTCATCTGAGGCATTCAGGGCCTCTCTGTGGGTGTCCAGCCTGCCCCGCCCTTAGCAGAAATCCCGAATCCCCTCTGATAGGTGTCTCTCCAGGTGAGATGCTGATCCTGGTCTTTCCCAAACTCCCTTTTGCATCATCGTTATCCATTGTCTGTAAAATATGTGAATTTGAACAAAGGGAGGTTCTGAAAGTGCTTCCTCTTCCACCACCACCCCCCTCCCTCCTGCAGACCCTGAAGTCCACCCACAAACCGAGGATTACTGGGGCCACGTGAATCCCATAGGACCCCGAGCCTGCTATGATGAAGGGAAGCGAGTCGCCGAGACCATGTGCTATGCCTACATGAAGCAGGTATTGGGGGCTGGTGGTGTAGACAGGTCACTGCTGGATCAAGTACAGTTGACCGTGGTTGACCCTGTCCAGGGACGGGTTCCCTGGTTCCCCACTGTCATAAATTAACGATGCAGTCAACAGCCTTTCCCATGTCTCATTTTTAAAAAATGATTTCTGGGAATGAAGCCTTGGGTTTTGAAGACCCTGGAGTGGCTGGATCAGCTTTATGACTAACCGCCCACCAGCAGTTAATAATAAGTGCTTCTGTTTTCTCAAAGCCTCCTGGTGGGTGGACACTTTTTTTTTTTTAACTTTTTACTTCTCTTTCTGTGATCTAGTGGGTATACTTCATTTTTGCTTTCACATGGGCGTCTTTAGGGATTGTTATTCACCCTCTGAGTCCCTGCCTCCTTAGTCACCCTGTGCTGCAGCCTGCCCATGGATCTTTCCGTGTATGGATTTGCTCACTCCCAGCTGAGGGGTAGGGGTCTGGGTTCACACCTGGCTTCCCGCTGTCTGCCCTGGGCCATGAGCTGTTGCTCGCGGGCCCTGTCCCGCCCACCTGAAGGCTGTGCAGACACCAACGAGATGTCCAGATGGGGCCCCAGCTAGGCCATCTGTTGTTCTTGATCAGTTTTGGGGTCCTCACTGACATACTCTTTCCTGGAGGGACATGTAGGTAGATGACTGTGGCCTGGTGTTTTCAGGGCAGGCCTCTGTGACAGAGAGGCCTCTCTCTCTCAGACTGAGAGACGAGATCTCTGAGACTGAGAGGCTAGCAGGCGTCCATCCTGGGAGCAGCCTTGGATTGAGGGTTCATCATCCTGGCCCAGTCGGAGCTCAGTTGGCCACGGGATTTGTGCAAGGTGGGGTGGGCGCTGCCTGGGTACCCAGTGCCAAGAACTCAGGGCTGGCCTGGGAGGCCCTAAACACTTTGTTTCTTTTTGGGGGAGGGGTGCAATTACCAGAGACTTTTTTTCCTTATATTTTTAACGTTTACAAGTGTTGAAGACCCCAAGGACCAACCTTGTGCTGATGTAGGTATTTACATTTTTCTGCATATTTCCTATTTCTTGGCAGAACTAATTGCTTTCAAAGTTTATCTAGGCCAATTGACTTGTATTATTCATTTATTTTAATCAGTTTTAGAAAAGACATACCTATGTCATCTTTTTTTTTCCTATGTCATCCTTTTTTAAAACTGGAGTATAATTGCTTTACCATGTTGTGTTAGTTTCTGCTGTACAGTAACGTGAATCGGCCATATGTTTACATATCTCCCCTCCCTCTTGAGCCTCTCTCACCTCACCGCCCCGCCCCACCCCTCCTGGTCATCACAGAGCACCAGGCTGAGCTGCCCGCACTGCGCAGCAGCTTCCCACTGGCTGTCCGTTTTACACATGGGAGTGTAGTTAGTTCTGTCAGTGCTGCTTGTATCATTTTTGAGCCCAGAATATTTTGACAGCAAAAGTTAAAATGGTCTCCCAGGAACAGCCTCCGTGTATGTTGGTCCCTAAGAACACTAACTCGAGTGCGTGAGGGGACATAACTACACTTTATTGTGTGATAAGTTTGTAGACTGTAGGCTGTCTTCTTTTGTACTCGTATTTCTTGGCTTTTACGGAGCTAAATAAAGATGGTACACAAACAGGACATTTTTGTTGAACTTTCAGTTTCTGTTAAAAAAACTAGGAGTGTAACTTAATGTTGTAAGTGTACATATTAAGGTATGAGCTCATGATAACTAAGGGTATTTAGTAGCAGCATAGCCAGCATTTGTTGAGCACTGACTGTGTGCCAGGACCTGTGGCCCACGCACAGGTCTTGAGAGAGTCACACTCTCTTGAAAATCTGTAATGTGCCCACTGGGAGTCCTTTGGGTGGCGGCCCTCGGGAGGTGTCACCACTGCCCAGCGCGTCTGCTGCAGGTGCTGCCTGCCGGGGCTGCCCACTGAGGACCCCAGCAGATGATGTTGCCTGTGTGCAGAAGTCACGTGGTGGTCAGGGTGACAGTGGGCATCCCCCTGAGGACAGCGTACAGACTGATCCCTGTCATGGTGTCCAGTCTAGGAGTTGCCCGTGGACACAGTCTCAACAATTTTTATGACCCTGGGGTCTGGGCCAACAGTGCCAAGTAACCTGTGGGTTCTTGTCAGCACATCTGCCCCAGGACTCGTGTCTGCCCAGGTGAGCAGTGCGTCCCGGCTATCTGGAAATGTCCCCCTGCAAGGCCTGTGCTGTGGGCTTGGGGGCATGTGTGGGTCCCCCCTCTCCACAGCCCTCACCTGCTCCTGGTGGGGGACCCTTCGGTCCAGGAGACACATGTCTGTTGTCTGATGGATGATGGATTGCTCTAAGAGTTCATTGATTCAGAGTAGGTGATAGTTATCACTGACAAAGCAGCCTGTGAAATTAATAGGTTGCAGAAGGCTTTTGGGGTTTAAAAAATACATACTTTCCTGATTACATGTTTGAAAGTATGTTTTCCCCAATTACAGAAGTAATAGATGTTTATTGTAATGAAAATAGAAACGTTGGAAACACGTGCAGAAGAGAGTGAAGGTCTGCAATCTCACCATGTGGGACTCCCATTGCTGTGATCAGTGTTATGTGTGTATCTTCTCAGGCATTGAGCCAATTGCCTGTATCAGGTGCTAGGTGGTCTGGTTTTTCACTAAATAGATGAGTTTTTCAGCAGAACAGAAGGGGATATAGGTACAATGTGGTCCTTCCCCAGGACAAAGTGCTGTCTTACTTTCCTTCAAATCAGCTGTTAAACATTCACTGACATTTAAATCTCTATTGAGTGATCAATTTACACAAAACATTATGTGAAAGAGATTGGGAAAGAGATGCATAGCATGATGCTTGTTGAGAAAATAGATACTTATTTACTGAGGCAAAAAATGTACACCCATCATTTCCTCTTGCCCCGATTAACTGCCTCTTGGGTTTCTGCAGTGTATTCTCGCCAGGGCCTCCTAGCAGTGGGATCCGGGGCTCCTGTGAGTTTGGGGTGACTCTACAGACTCCAGGCCTGATTACAGAGCACACACATCCCATGTGTGCAGGGCAAGGCCCTGCGTCCGGAAGGAGGAGCTACGAGGCACGGCAGTGGTGAATCCTGCGGCTGTGGGCATGGGGCTCAGCTTCTCTCTGTTGCAGGAGGGTGTGGAGGTGCGCGTGGCCAGGATCTTCAACACCTTCGGTCCCCGAATGCACATGAACGATGGCCGGGTGGTCAGCAACTTCATCCTGCAGGCGCTGCAGGGGGAGCCGCTCACGGTGCGTGGCCAGCAGGCGGGTGTGGGGATGTTGTCCAGGGGGCTCAGGGTAAGGGCGTCCCATCCAGGGGAGCTGGCCCTGAATCCCGCGTCCCCGCTGCCCTCGGAGGGAGGGAGGGAGCTCATGGGAGCTGTGACTGAGGACGGGGTCAGGTCACCCTCTCCCCAGCCACAGACACCCTGGTGCCTTGGGTGCAGGGTCTACCTGTGAAGATCTCTCTCTACATGCTCTTGGCCCTGGGGTGTCTCCCTTCCAGAAGGAGGGGCCCTGAGGAGGTGTCTCTGTACTCAGGGCCCCTCAAGGTGCCTGGTGGAGGCCCTCCTGCAGTGGGACCCTGGGGTGTCATCCATGAGGCTGGAACCTCACCCACGTGACCTGGCAGGGCCTGGAGCCGCAGCCTCTGGATCAGGGTTGAGGTCCCGGTCTGTGGTTTCAGCACCCTCATTGTTGTCTCCTCGCAGGTGTACGGATCCGGATCGCAGACGAGGGCCTTCCAGTACGTCAGGTAAGACCCCGGGCTGGCCGCAGCTCCCATCTGAGTTGGCCAGCCTTGGGCGGGACTGACCGCTCTGCTCCTCGAGGGTGCCTTGGATCTGTGAGCGGAGGCCAGACAGGCTGGTCCCTTGCTGCCACCTAGTGTCTGGTCAGCAGACCCACTGGCCCTGACGGTCACCGGGGGCTCCAGGTCAGGCCGGTGAGGCGCTAGCCTCTGCATCCAGCAGACTTGCAGATGCTGGAATCAGACCCTGTGGACATGGCCTCCTGGGTGGACAAGATCGTCCTCATTGAGAGAAAGATAAGGCCGAGTGTCGTATTGTCAAGGAATGTGGTGTCAAAACTACACGCAATTAAAAGCATTTTTAATAACTTTGTTGAATTATCTCGCAGGTAATATTTACCATTTTCTCGGTCATCCTCCTAAATCTAGCTTTTTTGTCAGCCAGTTTGGTTGGTGACAAGTTTTACAGTGCCGTCTAGGTTCTAAGAGTCATTGTGTGAGCAGTTACATCTCCCAGCCTGTTCTCCCACGTGCCAGGAGGTGGTGAATCCTGCATCGTTCTGTGGTGTCCTGAATCACTGGGCACACGCTAGTTGTGTGTTCTGGTACCTTGTCCACTAGGAAACGCCATTCCTGGTGCTCCTGGTGGCCACCCCAGGGGTGCTGTCAGGGGAAGTGGTGGCAGGTGGCCCCCAGCCCCGCCCCGACCCAGGCAGTCACCCTAACTTTTGCCTGGCTTAAAAGAAAGAAAAAATTAAACATGTAACTACTGTAGATTTTTTTTTTCCTGCAAGTGTTTGTGAATTTTCACATTTAGTCCAGAGGAAAGTTGTGAGTAAAAGTATATAATGAGCGGTGTTTTTTTCTCACACCTGTTCTTATGTTGACCAGGAGGGCAAAGTGCCTGAGACCATCTTGTCACTGGCCAACTTTGTTGCCCAAATATTCTAAGAAGGGATTTGAGCACAACCTAGCAGCCTGTTTCCAGGTCAGGGCACTTGACCCCAGAGCCATGAGGGGATGGACGAGGTCCGTGTCAGTGTGGGGACTATGCTGGGGGGAGGGGCGTGTCTGCATCAGGTACCTCCTGCTTTAGTGACACATCTCCATCCCACTCCCCCAGACCGTCTGCGCACTTCTCAGGGATCTTGGCATCTTAGTCACATTGAATCTCCTCTAACAGCCTCATCAAGGCCCCCAGACTCCTCCAGCCATACCACCTTGTGGAATATTCCAGAGTCTATGCAGTAAACAAAACATCAGTCAGAACACACTCTTATTTCAAAGGCATCAGATATGAAATCATTTAAAGTAGCCTCTCAGGTGCTTTTTTTTTTTTTTGCTGATGGTTAAGTCTTTTAAGCATCATGTGATGCATGGGTTGCGTTCTATCCCAGCCAGGACAGGATGTGCCTTGCTCCCGCTTTGCACAGTCTATGTGCCCCTCACTGACCAGACACCAGTGTGCAGCCTGAGAGACCCTGATACGGTCACTGGAGTGTTGCTGGGGATCCTCTGGGCAGAATGTCTCTTCATGGGGCTGCGCTGTCTGCTGGTCTTGCTTCTGGGGTCTCTGGGCCCTGACACACGAGGCTCCCCCAGCCTCCCCAAACTTGAAGGAACGAGCTTTCCTGGCCTCCACTCTACCTTGTTCAAGGCTTGGCCAAGATGATCAGCTCACCAGGGCCAGTCTGTTTTAAATAAGCTAGTTTAAAAAAACTGAGACTCTTCTAATTCACCGTTTCAAATAAAAATGCACAATGTTGGGACCTTGCGTTGCTGAACTAAGTTACCCATTTCCAAAATCCATGCTTGCCCTGAAGCAGTATGGCCCAGTCTCTGGGTGACTGTTGGGGTTTCAGGGTGGCCTGTGCGCTGACATCCTGTCCTGTCTATGTCTGGTGCTCTCGTAGGCAGATTGCATCCTCACCCCATCACAGAGGCAATGCAGTGTTGTCTTAAAAAGTAGCTTTGTCAGAATGACACTTTAAAAGAACTTCAGGTTAAATGGGTGTGATCTATGCAACTCTGACCTTAGAAGTGGACAGTTTGTTACATAAAAGATGCATGCCCCATCTCCACCTCCACTGAATGATTACACGATTCCATCACCTTCCAGCTTAGTATGGGGACCGCCCCCCCCATTTCAGTATTAAAAACTCATGGATGCTACTGAACGGCAGCTTTCAATGTCTTTCCAAACAGGCAGAGACATTTGTGTCATCAGAGGGGGAGTTGGGATGTGGTCATTACCGCCAGAGTGATGGAGGGGCCTGTGTTCATTTCTAGGAGAGAGGAAACATCCTGGGTCAGCGAGTGTTTATCTGCATTTGTGCTTGATCCGCGAGAGCAGAGTGGACTTAAGGCATGTTCCCAAAACACCCATTGGTTGTAAATAAGATCCTAGAAAGTCAATGTTTGCTAAATAGCAAACCCCCCTCATTTTTTTTCCCCCCCCTCAATGAAAAGGAGAGGGACAACTAAGATCTTTTTTCAGAGGTGAGCACAGTAACCTGCTCCTTGCTGGTTGTGATGGAGGAGGAAGGAGAGGTTCCAGGCGGCCGCATGTTCAGCGTCCCTCACAACCTCGTCAGAAACACAGCTGGGGGAAGTGCCTTAGCCCGTGCTTATGTAGCACTGAGGTGTCATTTTTACAAAGTCACTTTGGTTTTTTTTTTGACAGAACCACCCTTTAATGGTTCTATAAATAAGAACTAAACCTTGGTAAGCAGAAGTTTGCCTCCTCACCGTCACCCTCATGGCCCAGTTGCTCACAGCCCATTGGCAGCATCTAGACACCCCGACCATCCCCTTTGGGAGCTGGGGACTCCGGGGGGAGATGAGGCCTGGAGGGCCAGGGAACTTGTTTTAACGCTCAGGGTTGCCTGCTTTATCTGACTTGTCAGGATAGGAGTCACATACTGGAGGGTTTTTCTTTTGCAGGGGAGCTTATTTTTTTAAAAACCATCCGCTTTTCTGTACGGGCCAACTACCTGGGTTCACGTTAAACATCGTCTTTCCTCAGAAACTTGCATAAATACCATCTCTTTTGGATGTGTGTCTACTTTTACTTTTTAACTGTTAAACTATTTCAGAAATACACAATGTAGGGAACTCAGCCCCATCTCTCAGCTCCCATCCTGTCCAGTCGTCTGCCTACACTTGTCCACAGAAGGCAGCTCCCTGACACCACCTTGTCTCCTAGAATACTCAAGCATCCTCCACGCCCTCTAGCATGTAGGATTTTATTCTGACGTCCCATCTCTCCTCCCAGGAGGTGGCTCATGTCTGATGCACCACACCTGTGGGCATCAGCAGGCACCTGAGTGGCCTCCCCTCTTTTCCAGCGACCTGGTGAATGGCCTTGTGGCACTCATGAACAGCAATGTCAGCAGCCCCGTCAACCTGGTGAGTCCATCCCCGCCCACTGCCCGCTTAGCAGTCCAGTTCCTGCTGCAGTTCACTTGCTGTGAGCAAGCTTAGCGCATGCGCCTATTTGCCACTTAACCAGCACTAGAGGCAAAATCACAGAACAGAATGAAACAGGAGTCTGCCAAGATGTAAGGCGTCTGCAACGGATGGATGAACTGCATAATAGACACTAACCTGACTCCATCCACCTGGAGGCCAGGTCTCGGAGCTCGCAAAGCCTCTGCTGCTTGTGGGGCTGTGTGCATGTCTTTTCCCCATCATGTCTTGTGCAGTTTTGTTGGTGTCCAGTTGCTCAGTCATGTCCAACTCTGTTACCCCATGGGCTGTGCACCTCAGGCTTCCCTGTTCACTGTCTCCTAGAGTTTGCGCAAACTCACGTCCATTGAGTTGGTGATGTCATCCAACCGTCTCCTCCTCTGTCGTCCCCTTCTCCTCCTACAGTTAGTCTTTATAAAGCTCACTTTCCAGGGACATAAAAAGTGAAGGATTAGGACGGCTTCCCTCCCTTGCCAGGACTGCGGATGGCCCAGACCTGCCTCGGGCAGCTTTGTGTCTGGCTTCCTGTAGCCCCAGCCACTCCTGACAGGATTGGGAGGTGGTTTAGCCTGCTGTCTCATCCAGCCTTTTGCCCCCTGTGCTGGAGGACATGCTTCTCTGCAGAGCAGCTTGTTGTCTTTGGTTCTTGCTGGCAGAAAACTCTCCGTATATTTATGGTAAACCTTGGGCTTCCCTGGTGGCCCAGTGGTAATGGGATTGAACCTGCCTGCTAATGCAGGAGATGCTGGTTCAATCCCTGGTTCGGGAAGGTCCCCTCGAGAAACAAATGACAACCCATTCCAGTATTCTTGCCTGCAGAATCCCGTGGACAGAGGAGCCTGGCGGGGTGCAGTCCGGGGGTCGCAAAGAGTCGGACATGAGTTAGCAGTTAAACAACAGCAACCCTGCCTGCCTCTGTCATATTGATTCAGAGGAAACTAGGAGATTGAGAAAAAAGCGTACTTAGGACATTTAGTTGCCAGACTTCATGGTGGTCTCTCATGATGTGATCAGCAGGACTGGGAAAGGAAGGGACTGAGGCTGCTAGAAGGTGTGAGGGGAGGAAGAGAAGGAGAAAATGGTTTTCCTCAAACCCTCCAGAAGTCAGCTCCCCTTCAACCAGTTCCTGTCTCTCCTTTTGGCTGCCCGGAGCCCACAACTCTGAATACATTTAATTTCTGTTGGGCTTCGTGTCTGAGCTCAGGGGTCTTCACTACTGAGGTGGTGAGCGTGGTGCCCCATCGGGGTATCAAGTGTCCTGGGGGAGCTCGCTGGCAGAACTAGGCTTTCCTGCCCAGCAACACTGCGGTTACAGAACCTTGCACCTGGAGACCATCCTGTACCTGGGCCAGGGGACATGTCCCCATTAGATGCCCCCAAACAAGGCTAAGGCGGGGACAGGCATAGTGTAGCCCCCAGCCGGCTGTGCCTCCTGCAGAACCCTCATGGGGGTGGGAGCCCGGTGACTTCATGAGCCTGCAAGCACCCCGGAGGACGTGGGTGGTGGTGTCCTGTTGTGTTGACACTGCTAACCAGAGACCCTCTCCTCCTCAGGGGAACCCGGAAGAACACACCATCCTAGAATTTGCTCAGCTCATCAAAAACCTCGTTGGTGAGTAGAACAGGGGCCTCCCTGAGTGAAGCTGGCCTGTCAGTTAGTAACATGGTTAACACTCGCTGACTGAACTCGATGGGAAGCAGAACTGGGTCAGGAGCGCCCCCCCTGTTATGAGATGCTTTAAGTAATGGAAAGATGAAGGGGAAGGGGCTGACTTGGGTCCCTGTGGTGACAGCAGGTCTTTGTGTAGCGGGAACGTCCGTTTGTCCCCGGTGCCTGAGACGTGACATGGTCAGCAGTTCTCCACAGGTGACGGCTGTCTGGTGCCACATGCTGGCCATGACGTGCACAGAGCTTTGGGGAGCAGGAGGGCAACGCTGGCCTGTGTGCTTCTGACGGAGTCTGGTGGGCAGCTTTAGGTTCGTGTGCAGTCCTAGCCGCCCTGGCCAAGGGAGCAGGCGGTGTGGAGACTGGGAGTGGCTCCAGAGAGGGTGTGCTCTTAAGCCACGAGCAGTTTGTGTGTTTCCAGCTATCCGTGGGCTGCTGGCGCCCACGGGCTGTACTCTTTGTCACAGGTGTCCTGGGGCTCCCAGGAGCCTGGCCTAGGGAGTGTATGCTTCCTACGGCTGATCAAGAAATCAGAGTTTCAGACACAACCATATTGGAATGGGTTTTGCTAGACTGCATGAGCAAGATGTTGGCCCATCCAGACCGCCACTTTAGCTGGCTACAGTGTCTGGGGTGGTCTGTCCTGGCACCGAGCTGTCAGCTACCAGCCAGAAGAGTCAGATAGTACAGGGGATAGTCTTCCTAAGACAGAAATCTCAGCAGCCTCTGTTTACATTCTTCCCTGGTGTCTCCCCTGGGGGTCTGTCCACCCTTCCCCAATGGGGAAGCTCACCTTGGACCCCGGGCCTTGGCACCCCGAGTGAGGCCCTTGGACCAGCGGCTTTATCACCATCTTGTGAGAAGTGCAGACCCACAGACCTGCTTACGTGTCCCAGAGCAGAGCCTGCATGTGACCAGATCCTCAGGGTCGTGCTCATGCTGAAGTGGAGAAGTTTGTCTAAATCCCAGGATGACGGCTGTGTGACGCATGGCCCCAAACACCAGTGGCTTCAGACAGCAGCTGTTTTATTCACTCCAGATTCTGGGGTGGGGACTCCCTCTGCAGGCCTGGCCAACAGTCACTGGGATGGCTTCATTCTACTGGCCGGCAGGGTGCGGGCCCAGCAAGGAAGCTGGACCAGCCAGGCTTCTGTCCTTCTGCGTGTGGTCTGTCCAGGGTAGCTGGACATGTTTGTGTAGGCTCAGGGTGGCTCTTGTGTCAGTGGCCAGGCCCATGTAAGGTGTTAGCCAGGGCTGGCCCACATTCACTCCCCTGCATGCTGCTCGTTAGGCGGCCTGACTGCAGGCGAGGGGCTCTGGTAGGGTGTTCATGCCTGGAGGATGGCTCGCCTGGGTTGTGGGCAGTGGGCGCACGGCCATATTGGCTGAGGGTGGTGGGCAGTGTGGGGCCTGCCCACTCACCCACCTCAGGGTGGCTCAGGCCTGTAGAGCCAGAGCAGGGGGACTTGGACACATCATACTGTCTGCATCTATGTTCCTGTGCAGGTGGGACTTGACGTTCACGTATAAAAATCACACCTCAGTGGTTCCTGATTCTGTTTTTCTTAAATTCAGGTAGTGGGAGTGAAATTCAGTTCCTTTCTGAAGCCCAGGATGACCCCCAGAAAAGGAAACCAGACATCAAGAAAGCAAAGCTGATGCTGGGGTGGGAGCCAGTGGTAAGAGGGGGTCGGGGCTATCGCCGCCTGCTGGAGAAGTCCTTTCCCCGTGTTTATCCCTCACGGGCACTGCTGAGTGGGGTGGCTCTGGCAGGCTCCTCTCCAGGCCTGTGTCCTTTCTTCTCCATTACGGTTGTGACCTGTACTCTTGGGGCATCTGCCATTGAGGGTCTCCCTTCACTGGCTTCACTTGGAATGCCGCACTGAGGGAGCGACGGTGCAGGCTTAGAACTGAGTAGCCCTGCACGGCCTGGCCGTCCATTCAGCCAGGGTGTCATGGGTGAGGAGGGCCAGCCTTGGTGTCCATTGCCTATGTGACCTTGTCCAAACTGGCCCCCACTCAAGCCAAGCAGGGTGGGCGAGTGAGAAGCCAAAGCCTGCAAACTGCAGACCTCCTGGCCTTCCCCACCCTCTTAAAGGCCTTCGGCCTCCCAGTGTGGCTCCCCCAGGCAGGAATGCTGTCCCCTGGACCTGGTGTCCCCAGGTTCCAGAGGCTGACTCCCACTCCCCAGGGCATGGGGCCCCCTCAACCAGAATGACTGCCCCCCTGGGGTAAGGGTCCCCCAGACTGACTGCCTCCCTCCTCGGGCGAAGGTCCCTATGTCCTCCCATGCTGACTGCCCCGCTCCTGGGGCATGGACCACTCATCTCCCCAGGTTCACTGAGTCTCCCTGTGGTGTGGGTCCCCTTCTCCCCAAGGCTGACTGTCCTACCAGGGCTCACTGCTCTCCTTTCTAGGCCTGGGTCCCCCTCCCCATCCCCTGTCCCCCCAGTTGATTGCCCCCCTCCTGGGTTGTGAGTCCTCCCTGGGCTGACTGGTCCTCTCCTTGGGGCCTGGGTTCTCCCCAGGCTCATTGCCCCCACTTGTGAGGTTCAACCCCATGTGTGGGTTCATCTGTCCCCCACGGGTTTGTTGCCCCCCTCCCTGGGGGTGGGTCCCTTGCCCCTTGAGCAGACTGCCCTCCTCCTGGGGCGAGGGTCCCCCATTCCCTGGGCTAACTGTCCTCCAGTTTCTCCAGGTGGACTGCCCTTGGGCTGCTGCTTTCCTGTCCTTCATTGTGTCTGCACGGCATGGGCACCTGTTGTGATTTCTGCTCCGTGTTTGCTCTGGTGGCCTCCACATCATGAGGCTACCCAGTTGTTGTCCCGGGTCCCTGTGCAGAGGGTGAAGAGTCCCTGGGGTTGAAGGTGCAGATGGTTTCGATTCCCTGGGAGTGACAGAGCAGAGGCTGTCAGGTCCCCAGGGGTGAAGGTCCAGAGGGTGAGTGTCCCCAGGAGAGTCAGATATGTGGATCTTACCTGGCTGCCTTCCTGAGCATCTTCCTCCATGGAGACTTCTGAGAGGAGAAGGGTGCCCCTGGTGTTAAAGTGCACCATGCAGGCGGAGGCTGCCCCTCATTCTCACCCTGTCTTTAAACAGGTCCCGCTGGAGGAAGGGTTAAACAAAGCCATCCACTACTTCCGGAAAGAACTCGAGTACCAGGCAAATAACCAGTACATCCCCAAACCAAAGCCAGCAAGGATAAAAAAAGGACGGACACGCCATAACTGAAAACCTCGCCTTTCGGGACCGTAGATGCCCTATTTCACACTTGACAGGATGTATTTTTTTTTTTTTTAAAAGAAAGACTAACTAAAACAGGTGTCATGAAGAAAAAAACTGGAATTCATACTGAAGCTTGCTTTAAGAAATGGATGTGCCTAAAAACTCCCCTAAAAAAAACTGCAGATTTTGCCTTGCACTTTTTAAAATCTTTTTATGTAAAATAGCGTCGATGCATCTCTGCATATTTTCGAGTTTTTTATCTTGCTGTGAGAGCCTATGTCGTGACTGTCGTTGACAGTTTTATTTACTGGTTTCTTTGTGAAGCTGAAAAGGAACATTAAATGAGGTGAAAATGCCAATTTATTTATGAAGTGGGTACTTATAAACGAGACGTTATTCTATGCATAGAGGAGAAAGAACAGACCAGCAGTAATGTCAGCTGGGTGGCATACTGCATTAATTCTCAGGCAGAAAAAAGAATTCTGCTCGAGAGCTTTGTGATGTTTCTTCTAATGCAGAATTTTTCCAAGGTCCAGTTTTTAGTTGCAAACTTGACTTTGAAATGTTTCTGTTGGTTATCACGATCAAGGATATTTGAAATCACTACTGTGTCGTGCTGCATATGGGGTTGGGGTGGGTGGGACAAAATTAATATTCTTGGTTAACAGTGGTTAAATATGCTATTTTAATAAAATATTGAAACTCATACTGTGGTTTCTCTTCAGAGCATATAAATCTTCTGCCTTGTACTAATTTTTCTAAGAGGAGCAATTCTGAGTTTGTACCCAATATTTTGAGGCCTTGCTCTTGCAAGGCTTAAAAAAAAAAAAGAAATTTAATCTCACTTCAAGTTTTAACAATTGGCTTTCTACTTTGCATGGTGCATCTTTGAATGTTAAGAAAAATATCAGATAATTTAATTTTAAAGATTGAATGGCTACAAAAAATAATGGTGAATTTCATTTTAAAGAAAGTTCTGTAAACATCCAGGTTGGTGTAATATGTTACTTGATGTATGGATGTGGGCTGAAACTATGCATACTGTTACCTGCTGTGTGTACCCAAGGTTAGCATCATTGTGTATCCTTCTCTGGGAGTACAGACCAGATAAAGAAAAGGAAGTGCCATTACCGACCTGTGCTGTAGGAACTGAGAACTTCCACTTTCACTAAGAATTCTTTCAAAGTTTAGTGTTAGGTTTTTCTAAGTTCCTGTTATAACAAATGGAAGAACATGTAGGGGGTTAAAGCGACACATTTTTGAGTCATTTGGTGCTGTGTGGTGGTGACATATCCCGCACAGACACCAAAGGGATCAAAGCATGATGCAGGGGGGCACTGTGCTCGTTTACATTCTTACCAGGGTGACCTAGGCTTGTCTGTCCTTCAGAATCTCCTGGGGATGTATCTTTTAATCAGACCTGTTTTTCCAATCAGAATCTCTGGGCTCACACCAAGGAAGCTGTGGTTTTGTTGTATTTGTTGTGCAGAGTAGGAGTCTTACCGTGTGAGAGGGAGAGGACTGAGGCTAGCTTCTTCTATTCAGTTGTCATTATTTTGGCCTGAACTGAGTGATACACCGTTTTTGGGGAACTGCTGTTGGTGCCCGGGGTCACCAAGGAAAGCACGCAGCCATGGAGCTCCATGGTGCTCAGCTGTGTAGTGTGTTTGGGAGAACCCCAAAGCCCCAGGCTCCAGAATTCTCTTACCTTGTTTATTGCTAATATCTAGAATTCTTCTGGGAGATTAATTCCTTCAACTTTCTTCCCTATGGTTTTCATGGCATATGTTTAAAGAACAAGGGACACAAAGGGGGAGCTGAAAAAAATATTCCAAGAAGAAGGGCTGACCGTTTCCTGACTTTGGCAAAGCCACGTAAAGGCTCAGATTCAAAATGCCGATGAGCATAAGATAAAACCAAAGGAGTCCACACCAAGACCTCACAGTAAGACTCAAAACTAGAGCCACAGGAAAAGAACCTAAAAATGGGCCAGAAAAATAACTCCTTTCCTCCAGGTGGTGATGTCTTAACACAGAGCGGCAGCAAGTTCTTCAGAAACCAGGGGGCCTGGAAGCGAGAGGCACATTTCTTGTGGACTGAAAGAACTGTCTTTCCAGAATTCTAGTGAAAACATCCTTCAGAAAGGGAAGGGAAATTGAAACATTCTCAGAAGTAAAACAGAAGTTTTGTCCAGCAGACCTACCCTAGAAGTGTGACTAAAGAAAAGCTCTCTAAACAAGAAGGAAACAATAAAACAGAACCTTGAGCCATCAGAAAGCAAGAGCATGGAAAGTGAAAACATCAGTAAATGAAATAGGTTTTCTTTCTCTTCTCAAGTTTTCTGAGTTACCTTTGATGGCTGAAGCAAAAATTGTAACAGTTTTGTGGTTTTCAATCTATGGAGACACAAAAGACCCCAAATAGCCAGAAGAATCTTGAGAAAGAACAATGAAATTGGAGGAACCAGGTGCTCTAACTTCACACTATACTACAAAGCTACAAAGTAATCAAAACAGTATGGTACTGGCACAAAAGCAGAAATATAAATCAATGGAACAGGATAAAAAGCCCAGAAATAAACCCATGCATCTATGACAAATGAGGCAAGAATATATAATGAAGAGTCTCTTCAATAAATGGTGCTGGAAAAACTGGACAGTTATATGTGAAAAAATGAAACCAGAATACTCTGAACACAAAAATAAACTCAAAATGAATTAAAGATCTAAATGTGACACTGGTATTGATAAAACTGTTAGAGGAAAACATAAGCAGAACACTCTGACATAAATTGCAGCAGTATCTTTTTTGATCCCTCTCCTAGAGTAATGGAAATAAGAACAAAACTAAATAAATGGAACCTAATTAAATTCAAAAGCTCTGCACAGCAAAGGAAACCATAAACAAGACAAAAAGACATCCAACAGAATGCCAGAAACTATTTGCAAATGATGTAACTGACAAAGGATTAATCTCCAAAATGTACAAACAGCTTATGTGGCTCAAAAAAATAAAAATTTAGGCAAAAGGCTTGAAAGTTGCTCAGTCATGTCCAACTCTTTGCAACCCCATGGACTGTAGCCACAAGCCCCCTCTGCCTATGGAATTCTCCAGGTCAGAATACTGGAGTGGGTTGCCATTTCCTTCTCCAGGGGATCTTCCCAACCCAGAGATTGAACCTAGATCTCCCACACTGTAGGTGAATTCCTTACTGTCTGAGTTACCAGAGAAGCCCCATCAAAAAACGCATAAGACCTGAGGAGACATTTTTCCAAGAAGACACACTTAGGGCCAAGGGGCACATGAAAAGATGCCCAACACTGCTAATTATTAGAGAAATCTGAATAAAAACTATAATGTATCACCTCACATCAGTCAGAATGGCTGTCATAAAAAAGTCTGCAAATAATATGAACTCCATACACAAAAATAAGCTCAAAATTATTAAAGACCTAAATGTGAGACCAAACACTGTAAAACTTCTAGAGGAAAATACAGGCAGAACACTCTTGACATTAATCACAGCAACATCTTTTTCAATCCATCTCCTAGAAAAATAAACAAATGGGACCTTCTTAAATGCACCCAGCAAAGAAAATAAAGTCTACAGATTGGGAGAAAATATTTGCAAATGATGTGACTGAAAAAAGACTAGTCTCCAGAATTTACAAACAGCTCATGATGCTTAACATCATCAAAACAACCCACTCAAAAATGGGCAGAAAACCTAAAAGAGACATTTCTCCAAAGAGGACATACAGATGGCCATGAGGCACAAGAAAAGATGTTTGACATCGCTAATTACTGGAGAAATGCAAATATAACTGCAATAAGATAGCCATGCTGGCTGGTGTGAGGTGCTATCATCAAAAAAATCCACAAACAAATGCTGGAGAAGGGAACCCTCCTACACTGTTGATGAGAATGCAAACTGGTGCAGCCACTGTGGAGAATAGTATGGCAGTTCTGTAGAAAACTAAAAATAGAGCTAACATACCCTGTAATTCCACTCCTGGGACATATCCAGAGAAAAACATGATCCGAAAGGATACACACACCCCAATGTTCATTACAGCACTGTTTACGTTAGCCAAGACATGGAAGCAGCCTAAATGTCCATCAACAGAGGAATGGGTAAAGATGTGGTACATATATACAATGGACTATTACTCAGCCATTAAAAGAATGAAATAATGCTATTTGCAGCAACATGGATGGATCTAGAGAGAGTCCTACTGAGTGAAGTAAGCAGAGAAGGAGGAATATTGTATGACATCTCTTATATTTGGAATCTAAAAACAGGTGATACAAATGAACTTATTTACAAAACAGAAAGACTCACAGACTTGGAATTTATGGTCGCTGTGAGGGAAGGGTGAGGGGAAGAGATAAGGAGTTTGAGATGGACATGTGCACACTGCTGTATTTAAAATGGATAGCCAACAAGGATCTACCCTACAGCACAGGGAACTCAGCTTAATGTTACGTGGCAGCCTGGACTGGTGGGGGTGGGGGGGAGTTTGCAGGAGAATGGATACATGTCTATGTATGGCTGAGTCCCTTTGCTGTTTGCCTGAAGCTATCACAACACTGTTAATCAGCTATACCCCTAAACAAAATAAAAAGTTTACAGTTTGGAACAATAAGTCTACAAATAATAAATGCTGGAGAGGATGTGGAGAAAAGGGAACCCTCCCACACTGTTGTTAGTAATGTAAATAGGTGCAACCACTATGGAAAACAGTAAGGAGATTCCTTAAGAAAATAAAAATAGAGCTACCATATCACCCAGCAAATCCCACTCCTGGGCAAATACCCAGAGAAAAACATGATTCAAAAGGACACATGCAACCGTATGTTCATTGCAGCACTGTTTACAATAGTTAAGACATGGAAGCACCCTAAATATTCATCAACAGGGGAATGGATAAAGAAGACGTGGTACAAATATACATGGGAATACTACTCAGCCATTAAAAGAATGAAACAATGGATGGACCAACATGGATGGACCTAGATTGTCATGCTAAGTAAAACAAGTTAAAGACAAATATATACTATTGCTTATATGGGGAACTTTAAAAAAGGATACAAATGAAATTATTTACAAAACAGAAACTTGGTTACCAAGAGGAAATGGTGGGCAGGAGGGATAGATTGGGGGTTTGGAACCTGCATGTACACACTGCTATATTTTAAATAGACAACAAGGACCTACTGCATAGCATAGGAAACTTTGCTCAATAATCTGCAATAAACTAAATGGCAAAAGTATTTGAAAAAGAAACATGTATATGTACAACAGAATCACCTTGCTGTACGCCTGAAACTAACAATATTGTTAATCAGCTGCTGCTGCTGCTAAGTCACTTCAGTTGTGTCGGACTCTGTGCGACCCCATGGACCGCAGCCTACCAGGCTCCTCCATCCATGGGATTTTCCAGGCAAGAGTACTGGAGTGGGGTCAACTACAATATACATTTAAAATTTTTTTAAATGTGAAAGTGAGCTCAGATGGTAGGAGACCCAGGTTCGATACCTGGGTTGGGAAGATTCTCTGGAGAATTATATGGACAGAGGAGCCTGGTGGGCTACAGTCCATAGGGTCAAAAAGAGTTGGACATGACTGAGCAACTCAGATTTTCACTTCACTTTCACAACTATACTATCTACAGGGTTTTGAAAATATGAAATTCAGACTTCGTA